TTTCTCCTTTGCCTTCCTATCTTCTCAGTGCCTGCTTTATTTACTTCTTTGCAAAGCATCTTTTACAGTCATCTTTTGGACTGTTGACTCCTCACCACTTTCCATCACGTGCACACACACGCACGCACACACATGCGTGCAAACACACTCACAATTTGCCTTTGGTATCACTGTTGGCCCTGGCTTACTCTTGTTCTGCCAACGTTCAGTTGTTTTCTTCTAATCTCCTGTCCGCTCACTCACAGCATTTCCTTTGCATCCTTATTTTTTTAACTCTTATTTTTTTAACTCTCTTTGTTAGTTATAGCAGCTGCAGAACCCCGGTCTTCCCTGTCTGAACCCTACAACAAGGTAGTGCATTTTTGGTGATTTATAAAATGTTACTTTGAACATAAGAGTTATTTTCATGAATTATCTTCATGAGATTAAAAGTTGCTAGATAGGCTCAGATGATTTGAAAGCAGTGTAGTCAGAAAATTCCTGTCAACCCTTATTTTGAATTTTCCATCTGGCGTTCATCTGTACTTTATAATTCAAATACTGAGTGCCCAGTGTGTAAGTACCACCAAACTCTAGGAGCTTTGTAGCTTAAACCTGTCCTGAAAAGAGTATAAAAGAATGCAGAAAGCAGACAAAAGTAACTTGCTTTCTTACACAATAATTAGGTGCTACAGAAGTGAATTGATAAGGCTCCTTGAGCTCAGAAAAGAAACACTGGAAAATTCCATTCTCAGATTTGTCAGGAGCGCGAAGGCCCTCTCCTAGGGCGACCCTCACTTGGCTCTCTACGATGCTAGCTGTTTCAGCCTGCAGACAGCCAGATATTTCCAAAACACTCACTTTCCTAGAATAAAGCTCTTGTGATACGCAAGTAAGAGACTTATTTGTCTTAATTATGAACGAATGGCAGCCAAATACCTAAAATAGTTCTTCACAGCTTTCATTCATAAAAATCACATACCAGGGCTCAGATACCAGGCTGAGAAGTCAAGACCCTCTTCACAAAATACTATCCTAGGTATGTCTGTTGGGCCAGATCTCCTTCCTTTCGTGTCTTAATTTTGTATTCTGGTCTAGATTGAGTTCTCTACAAAGTTACAGCAGTGTAGCCTGTGTCATGAACTCAGGGCGAGCCCTTGGGTACAAGGAAGGATCGCTGGCAGGACTTGGCCAAGGAGGGGAAGGGCGCAAACCGAACCTGGGTTAGTGAGATGGCTTTGTTTTCTGAAACACTTAGGTTCAGATTCTGGCTGTGACTTGGTGGTGTGACCTCAAGCAAGTTTGTCCTTTCTTTTTGCTTTTTCATTACAGAGAATTTCAAACGTATACGAAATCTGTGATACAACAGAAGTAGTGGTTGCCAGGAGCTGGGAAGAGGGGAATGTGGGGGATGGGTTTCCCTTTGCCGCGACAAAAATGTCCTGAAGTTAGATAGGAATGATGACTCTGTTACTCTGAAAATACCAAAACCCCTCTGAATTGTATGCTTTAAAGAAGTGAATTTTTTGATACTTGCATTATCTCTTGATAAAGCTCTTTTCATTCTTAAAAAAAAAAATGTCTGCAGCACAGTGAATCTTAACACATTCACCACAGACTCCCAACCTTCACCACGAGTAATTTTGATTTATCTGACTCTCCTCTTCCGTGTTTGTTGAAGAAATCTCAGATACATTTTATCTATAAATATTTCCATATGTGTCTGAAAGATAGGGGCCTTCAGCACCTTCCCCCAGCTTGCACCACAGGTGGTCCATGCATGACTGTCCCTTTGGGCAGCTTGTAACCCAATGGGACTGTCCACACCGCCTGATGGGACACTCACACATGCACCACCAGTATCAGAGCCACCCAGCAGCAAGATGAAAGAATTACAGCCTTGGAGCCGGGGATTTAGCTCAGTGGTTCCACCGCCTGCCTCACAAGTGCAAGGAACCGAGTTTGATCTGCAGTACCAAAAACAAAAGAATTGTGTCCTCATCGTGAATATGTTAAAATCCCAATCATAACATTACATCTGCAAATGTTAATTACTCAAGGTCATCACATCGCTTCAGTGTTCAAATTTCCATATGAACTGTTCTGAATGGGGAGCCAGATTGGACCCATACATTGTGATTTGCTGTTTGTTTTTCTTTTTCAATCTCTTTACCTTTAGAGTGCACCTATCTTTCTCTTCCCAAAGAGACTAGGTCATTTGGCCTAGTCAGTTTCCACCCCACCCCCCAGTTCTTCATCAGTAAAATGGGGAAAGTAGCTACCTTCTTGGATTGAATGAACCAATACCTGCAGCGTGATCAGAACAGCACCTGACAAACAGTCAGCGCTTGGCTGCCTGATGTCTCCAGGGTCAGAGATGCAGCCCTCCAGAGGCCCAGTGAGTCCACAGATTGAATCTCAGGCCCAACCAAACCCTAGTGCTCTGAGGTCTCTGGTTCTCTCTCCCCCCAACCGCTTTCCCTGTGTGAGTGTCACTCTGGCAGAACGCTCCTCACAGTGGCCATTGCAGAAGGTAGGACAACCATTCTCTCAGTGTCCCCAAGACAGCTGACTGCCTAGCACCACTGCCTTTCCTTTGCATGGAAGTAGATCACCACGTGAGAAGGGGCACAAAAACAAGGTTTTCTGTAACTAGCACACACTGCAGTGATGCCATAGAAATATAGGCAGTATCAGCTATTGCTATTGTGTCCATCCTGATTGCTAACCAACCTAGAACCAAAATGTATTCATATTCAAAATTTCAGACTTCCGTATCCTTGGCAGGGGCCTACATGCTGGGGAAATGTCACTGAGCTGATAGACTGAGTCTGCTCAGAAAGCTCCATACTGAGTTATTTGTTACAAAATAACATCTGAGCTCTTTAAAACAAGAAAAAGGTAAGGTATGCTCCACAGAGCTGTTATGTGGTATTAAAAGTGTAAGTAAGAGAAGCCTTCTGCAACCCCTGTTGCTTCAATCTTGCCCTGCTATTCTAATCTAAACTTTTGTTTCCTGCTAACCTCTTTTTAATTGCCAAATAAGTGATGGTTTTTAATTTTTTTTTTTAACTTTTGGGACTTAAAAATCTGTGAAGTCCAGGGATGTTACTAGATTTCGTTTGGGCCATCATATGTTAAGCATATTAGTTGTTGTTTTTTTAAAAAAAATAAATTGTAGGAAAGGAATGTATGAGTTCAACACTGCCCTTACCCTACTTGACAATTTTGTCCCCAAGGATACATCAACTTGGGAGCAAGGAATTCAGGCTCCACAGAAAGGACCCTAAAGGAGCTAGGAATGAAGTTCCACACTTGAACGTGACCCTCCTGCAAATGTGTCTTCCTCCTCTGAGATACAGCTTCACTCATCTCACCGACACGGAAGATGTGGCGTTAGATTGGAGGGGCATGGGTGTGGAGGGGCTCACCTGAGAAGAGTCCACACAACGTTAGCGGCATGGACGTCGCCCGGCGCTGCGTGGTGGCCTCAGAAAGATCCCTCGCTGTTCCCATGGCAGAAGCGCCACTTGGACGGATCCAGCCTGCCACCTGTGTGACAATAACACGTTTACTATCAAGTGTCATTACTTATCCGTGTTAACTATATGCTTTATATTTGGCCCAAGATAATTCCTCTTCTCGAAATGCAGCCCAAGCAAGCCAGGCAGGTCCAGTCCGTGGGCTGAGGGTTGGGCACATCTGGTGCCAGGCTATTATTCACTGCCCTGAGCTTAATGGCGCTACTCTTCCCACGAATCTCCTTGCTTTTCTTCAGTAGAAATTGTCACTTCTCAGCCTCTCGTCTCCCCGATTCTTTTCGCCATATATGTTCATAAGTACCAGGTGCACAGTAAGCTCTGCCTGGCCTTGATTATGCGTCACAGAGCTTTCCCTGAGGAACTCTGTGCTCTTCTTCCATCTGTGTCCTCCTCTCTGCAGGTCCCCACTTTGAATTTATTGCCAAGCCTGTTTGTGACTGAGCTTGTGTTTTCATTCCATGGGTCGCTGTCCCCTCCCTGTTAATCTGCTACCATCTGCGGCACAACAATCACTGATTTCAAGGGGTGAGACCCTAGAGGAGCCCTGAAAGTTGATGTCAAACGAGGACAGCATTCTAGAACATACATCGTCTCGGTCAGAAATCAGTCACCTACTCAGCTGTGGAATTAGTAAGTACCTCCTATCGCTCCAACTTGGGAACTAAAACACTTGGGACAGCAGAGAACAAGACCCTGAGTGCTGCGATGGTAGGAAGGGATCTGTGAGAGGGGACAGCACTGGCTGGGGACGGAACTGGAGCCAGGCTTGGAAGAATGGCTACCGTTTTGTTTAAATGGATTGAAGGTGTAGTTGCGTTTTTACGCAGCATCTTCTAAACGGTAGATACTCTCTAGATGCTGAGTCTGGATTTGGGGAAAGTAAAAAGACCCAGCAAGTTCGGGAGGAACTGCGTGCACTAGCATGGTGGTTTCCAGGGCAGGCAATGGCCTGTGAGATTTCAGAGATAACACAAGTGCAGCACTCAGTCAGCGCGGTGCCCGCTGGGGATGAGAAAATGCTCTCCACCGAGTATGGTGAGCAAGGACCAGATGGTGAGTATCGGGTTCACAGCAGGAGGGACACCAGGCTGGGCACTGTCCTCTAAGGTACCCCATTTGACTTGTTCTGTCCTGGCTGTCATGAGGCAGCTGTTAGGGAGCAGAAAGAACGAACATTGACCACCTTCAGGAATTCCGCCAAGTGGCCTCAGAAGGGAAGTGAGGCTGGTCTGTTGAGTGGAAATTGTTCCATAATATTCAAAAGCAAGACGGATGTCTGTTCCTACCCGAGGTTTTTCAAAGTAGGAACTTTACCCCATAAAGCAGAAGAGTTTTTTTTTTTCCTTCTTCTTTTGTGGTTTCACACAGAAAATGAGTGACAACCTCTACTCGTAGACAAAGTGAGACATCAGGCGATGAGGAGTGAACGTGGCTTACATTTCTGGTTCCTCCCTCCGTCACCCCTCTCATTTTACACTTATCGCGCTTTCCAGAAAGTCTGCCTGCTGGAAGAGACTTCTTGACAGCTTCCTACGTGTCGGCCGATCGCTCCATGGGACTTGGCTTCTGAGAACCAGCCAGCAGCAGGCGGTGACGCTGAAGTGTGCGTGTGTGAAGCTGGAGATACGGCCGGGGTGACTCGGAGGAGCTTCTCCACACCGCAGGCATGAGGGGAACCGGCATCCGGCACGGTGTGCCCGAGGTGAGTGCCGGGGCTGTGTGCACGGAGCGGGGCCTGGGGATGAATCTGACCAGTTTTAGTTCTGAGCTGCCAATGAAGGCAAAGGTGAATACTAGTAACACGTGAGTTTGCAATGGGTGAGTCGAACGTGTGTTCAAGGGCAGGAAATCCAGGTCCTGTACAGCTCCTTACCAGCTGGCTTCTGAGGTGGGTGCCAATGACTTCACAGTAGACAGCGGAGAGTAGAGTCCATCTTATTCTGTCTACACAAACTTCTTAAGCAAATGTGCATCTCAGTCTCAGCCCAGCTCAGTCTCTTCCTCTGGACCCTGAGGGCACTCAGTGTGGCTCTCAGTGTCCTGACCCATTCCTGTGCTCCCCAAACCTCAGCTTCAGCCTCCCCACTCAATCCACTAAGGTCACCCTGCGCCGTCGTCATGGTAACTTGTGGACCTGTCACACCTACTGCAAGTCTGTGTATGAGTCAAGAAGGTGCCCTAGTTAGAAGTTAGAGTGGCTGCCACCTGCACTTACTCAGACTCAAGGAAAGTGAAGCTCAGGGTTATGGCTTTTTAAAAATTTCGGTTACATTCCTTTAAATGTTTAAGTAGAGCAAGAAGAAAAACAAGAAATGAAACAATTGCTTACATAAATAGTAAAATATTTATTGCAATAATGACAATTCCCACTCGTGGAACATATGGCTAAGTAACCCACGACGTCCTCTGAGGTAGAGGTAGACTGTGTGTAAACAGCTACTTACCTTAGAACTTTGCCCTTTGGAATAATGGAGGTGGGGTAAGCAACTCAGCAAACTCCTGGATTAGCCCGCTCGAATCTCAGTTCTGGCAACTTGTCGTACTTGTGTGCGTGTACTTGTGAATATTGGGACATGAGCACTATGTTGGCATCGTTGCTAAACCATTTGAATGTAAATGACAGAAATAATGATGCTTCACCTGTAAACACCCAATCATGGGTCTCCGGAGACATTCACCTCCAGAACCACACCATCCCCGCACCCACGTATAGTTCATGCTAATTTAAAGATCCCATTCTAATATTCAGTCTATATTCAGATTTCCCAAAACTGCCCTTTTTCTCTTTTGTGCCTGTTATTTGCTTTTCCAACCCAGGCTTCATTGTGGGGTCACACATGGTGTCATGTGTCAGGCCCCAATTTCCTTAATCTAGATGAATCCACTGCTCTTTTCTTTCGTAACGTTGACTTTTTATTTTCCCAGTACCAGGGATTGAACTCAGGACCTTGGTGTTTGTGAGGCAGGCACAGTGCCACTGAGATAAATCCCCAGCCCCTGACTTTTTCTTTTCAGAGACTAGATTTTCTTTATGACTTACATCTCTTTTTATTTTTGTGCCACTTACTCTGCCTGGATTATTTATGTGGCACTTTGCGGTTTGTACACAGCCTGCATAGGACACAACTGATATCCTTAGCACCTCTGTGCTGTCTCGCTCCCCGGGTCGGGCCAATGCCGGTAATTCTTGCTCATGAATCATCGGCGCCCCAGGCCCTGTGCTGTGCTCGCCCTTGTCTCATCTCTGCACCACCTCTCTGTTAAGCAGTGGTATTGCTTTCACCTTCGAGTCAAGGATGGGGAAACAGCTTGGTTGGGCTGAGACAGGAAGTGGCACTGTCAGGATCAAACCCAGGCAGACTGCACCCCGGGACCCCAGCTCTAGCTGGCTCCCACATTCTCACCCTGAGACAAAGAGCCAAACAGTATTTTTCACTTTATGGGCCACATAAATCTCTGTTGCATATTCTCTGTTTTCATAACCCTTTCAAAACATAAATAATTATTAATTTTTTAATTTGCGTTTTATTTCTGAGTCAAGGTCTCGCTGTATAGTCCAGGCTGGCCGTGAACTCACTGTGTAGCCCAGGATGGCCTTGAACAAGCAGTGATCCTCCTGCCTCAGCCTCCCCAGGGCTGGGATTACAAGTGTGCACCACCCCACCCAACCTATAAAATATAAAATCATTCTTAACTCCCAGATCAGTTGTCTGCATTGGGTCCTCAGGCCATGGGTTGCCAGCTCGTGCCATCTCCCCTCGCACAAACTACCCCTGCGCATAGCAGAGTGAAGACCCCATCTTTGCCTCCTAGGCCAGCAGCCACTTCAGCTACTGTGTCTCTGGTTCCTTGTGAACCCCTGTCAATGCACATATAAGATAACATGCCCTCTTTCCACCTCTAACAACATGTCTAGTAGCACTGAGTACAACTGTTAGCTTCGTGGCTTTACCATGGTGCACACCAGGGTTCAGGTCACATCAGCACAGCTGATCACTAACTGGGATGCCTACGTTGTCATTTCATCACTTTTTCGATGCTAACACAGTGCTTTCGAGGGTGGTGCCGTGCAGGTAGCCCTCAGCTTTGATGTATTCAGAGCTCCGGCTCTCACTCCAAATCACCCTCCCAGACCCAGAGCTGCCGTGGGCCCATGGGAGATAAACGCTGCCTGCTCCCCAACAGTCCCATCAGCAGAGCTTTCCCTTTACCACACAGCAGATTGTGTGTTTACCAGGCCGCTTTATTATGCTTCAGCCTCCTAGTTTTACAAGAGCACCTAAAACTAAATATGACAATACCAGCAATGGGAGGCAGTGACCTCAAGCACTGCAGCTGCGACAGACACGGGAGTCCTTACGCAGGGCAGAGTGGTGGAGCTGCCGTCTCCTTCACTGGCTCACTGCACTCCGGCCTGCGGGCTCCACACTCACCTCTACTCAAAAAATGCTGGAACATTAGTTCTAAAAGAGGAGGTGAATGAGCGATTTCTTTTTATCATATGCGAGTCCTTGCTTTGAGCTTTTGGTGGCTTAAACATGCTTATTCCTAAAGATACAGTCTGCATTCACATTAGTGATTCAGCCCCCTCTGTGGCATGGTGTCAGTCCGTGTGTGGGCGTGAATGTGTGTGCGCACGCCCATGTGTGCGCGGCATTAGAGGTGATTTGAAATTAGCAACTTCATACACAGCCCCCAGCACCACCACCATCACATTTTTTTCTCTGCCATGTGCAGGACTTGAAGGAGGATTAATAAACATTAGCACTTGTTTTCTGCTATGTTCTGAGAATTTCTGAACTTTGACTCGACTTTAAACCTGGTTTCTACGGTAGTTTCTCTCGAATCCATACTTTATCTCTTTTATAAAGACAGCTGGCCGGGCACAGTGGTGCACACCTGCTTTTCCAGCAGGCTGAGGCAGGAGGGCTGCAAGTTTGAGCTCAGCCTGGGAAACTAAGCAACTTTGTGAGACCCTGTGTCAAAATGAAAGAAGAAAGCAGGGCAGGGGATGTAGCTCAATGCAAAGGCGTGGGTTCAGTCCTCAGTACCGCCAATGGAAACACAGCTGTCGGCTCACTGGTTTCAGAAGGGCGTTTTCAAACGAGATCTTTTACCCTGTTAGCGAATAGCGGCTTGCCCAGTATTCATCTTTCAAGAACATTTCGAGAGTTGTGCTTTGGATTCAGCCGCAGTTGTGAAGTAGACACCCCTCGGTCCTCTCCCGTCTCACACAGCAGAATGGCGTAGACTCAGTCAAGGAAGATCAAGGCAAAGACGGGACTTTTGAAAAACCTTCGGCATCCTCGGGGTTGGCTTAGATCCAGCCGTGTGTGACTGTGTCGGGTGTGCTGGGCCCTGTGGGACTTGGCTGGCCTCGCGCGAGGCTTCAGGTCTGTGAGCCAGAGCGACTTCAGACTCTGCTGTGGCTCCCTCAGTCCTGAGGCGGAAAGCAGCTGCTTCTCTCCGCGTCATGG